AAATTAGGCAGAAATATCTGAACATACGTCTGCTGGGAAACTTCCCAGTAAGTCAGGTTGTAGGTTGTAGCTGGGAACTCTTCTATCAGTCTTGCTGGGAGTAAGGAACAGATAGATTTTTGCCAGCAATCTCCCAAAATGCTTAAAATGGTTTCAGAAAGCTTTTTTCATGCTTTGTTGTTATTTTAAGGTCTTTTTCTGAAAATTTCTCGTTGGGTAGCCCTGCCTATAATGAGCGATTTCAGGGTACAGCAATACCGATATCACCCCAATTTTTCCCTATAGGTGAGTAATTAACATTTTGGAAGTCAACAAAGCTGAGTTTTCCCTAGATAAAAACTATTATTATACATCAGACTCACTATGAAAAATCTGATTGGTCGAGAGCATTCAATCAATTCACAATAGCTTGTGAACTTGACATGATAAATGCAATATCTGCTGCAGATATTGCAATTTGTCATGTCAAGCTCAACGTCTGCCTGGTTACCAAGCCCCTTGGAGTGTTCTCTTCAGAAACAGAATGGCTGAATGTCTTCTTTTGCCTATTGTTTAAAAAATGTATAATAAAACAATTATTGAATTCGGTTTTCGCATGATATCATGAATTTTCAAAACCTCTCGTCTGTATTATCTGCCTCAGCCTTCGGCTTCGGCAGATAACACAGACCTCGGTTTTGATAATTCATGATATTATGCTCAACCTCATCCAATAATTGTTTACTATTTTGAACTTTGCGATCGTAACGATAGTAAACTCGTATTTTTTTGTTAGGGGAGGGGAGGAGGCGGTTGTACAAAGGCTAGCTACGAAATTATACATGCTAGTCCTGTCTGTAAGAGTATTTCGCAAAAAACCTCACTCCCAACACACAGAGAGGAAATAAATGCATTATTTGTCTTCAAATAAAATTTTATGCGACAATTTAGCCTTACATAGTTTATGAGAACAGTAACGTGGAAAGAGGCTTCAACGTAGAATCGAGGGTGCTGATTTGAAGTTTGAATTCAATATGGCGTCTTTAGGTAATGTCATATTCATTGATTGTCGTATAATGGATGTCGCGTTCTTGATCTCGTTGACACACAAAAATTTTTTCATCAGCCCTCCTCCTCCCCATTCCTGCCTCTTCCTTGTTCTATGGTTTGTATTTTTTAGGCGGTTGATTGCCCTCACCTTCGCCGGTAACACATGTTTAATGAATGTTTCGGTTTGTATTTGTATTGGATTTTCAGAGTTTAATGAACCGGCTATGTGTAAAATTTCACATATCCATTTTTTCTCCATCATGTCGTTTGTATTGCCTTTTCGAACAGAGCACAGCACATATTTCATTCTGAGTAAGGTTTGCCATTTTGTGCGTAGATTGAAACATAAAAAACATATTTCCATGGCATAGTGCATTGGAAGGCATGGAACAAGTAAGATCACTAATTGTAAGTAGCAGCTGTGAACCATCAGAGGAAAGCACCTTTACTGTATGGGTGGTCACCCTAGTCACACACCATCATGCGTCCATCAGGTGCAATTGTCAAGTAGTATGGTGTTGTTAGTTGTTCGTTGATGACAAACTTTACAAATTTGTAATTTTCATTAAACAAAAAAATCCCATGAGGTGCAACTACTATGAGTTCACCTGACGCGCTGAATGCTACTGATGTGGAATAATTTGGTTTGCTATGAAAAGGATCCGTTAAATATGACCCTTCTAGCCTAAATTTCATCGGCCGCTGCCAGATATGGTTTCTTTGCTCTTGTCCATACCAGCTAAAGGAAAGTAAATATTCAGTACAATGATGTGGAGTAACATCAGCACGCCATGCCCTGGGTCAGCAGCTTACCGTTCACGGCCACTAATAAGTCATGTTCTCCAACACAGTTTGGTGTGTAAGTGACGTTGTATTCCCCATCTTTGCTGTGTGCACGTGGCTCAGCTAGTTACCTGAGGGAGAATGAACTTTCACATAAATCTGATCGTTTTCATCGTAACGATGGTTTCCGTCAGAGTCTTTCGTCGTTATATTAATCGTTGCTTCGCTTCCGACGTCTACTTTCTGCAACCAACCCTGTCCACTCAACCACCGACGGCATAGGATCCGTGTTACTAACAACAACTCGACCCAACGCCGGAGCTTATCTCGTATCTGACATGCGATCGTATCGTTTATAAATGTTCCATTTCTCTGCGTTTAAAAGACGTCTGCAACATGATGATGATGATGATGATACCTTTATTAAAGTGTCAAAACTGTAATAGCGGTGTACAACCACTAAATGGGGACACTAAAATAAATTTAAAAGATAAATCAATTAATAAATTAATTAAGATTAAGAAAAACTATGTACAGTATAAGCAAGTGAGAAATTCGAGAGAACTATATACAATATGTACAAGTATTGGTCCCGGGAGTGGGAAGTAGTCCAATGATTTAATTAAACATTTAACTTCTGTTTGAATTAATATATTAACTTTGTGTTTCGGAGGTTGTCTTGGCCTTTCACTCATAAAACTTCGAAATAGTTGAAAGGTTTTGTTATTTCCATTTTTGACGGTTGACAAAAATTTTACCTTTTTCGACGGCTGACAGTTAACCTCATTAAAATCCCCTCAGACGGATAACAACCCTTATTTAGAGAAAGTATGCTATTGCAGTGGCGTCAGCTCCGGTGGAGAAATCCGTGAAACTAAGAAAAGGGCTAAATGACTCACAGATTCCATGAGGCTTAAGGGTTTAATGTGCCAACTCTTAGAGCGATCCCGTTGTAGGACGTGTTGGGGAGAACGCTCCAGTAGGTTCTGAGTTCAACGGCTATAAAGATGTTTCTTGGGATGGTTACCCGTCGAATTTCTGTGAGCCTCAGAAAAAAAAACTACGCACGTGTTGGGATATACAAGTTAAGGTCACGTGAGGGCTAGCGACAAAACGTTATGACGTAAAAGTGGCTACAATAAAGAAATAGCAAAAAACACTACGAAACAAAACTGAGGCACAAGGGGTACCGTTACAGCTAGAATTGAAATCCCTCTTGCATAATTCTTTACATCCGCTCAGCCTCTTCCAGTTATAACTAAAAAAGTTTAAAAACCTACTTAATGAGCATCAAAGCAACTCTAAGGAAGACTTTTTGTCGATCAGTTAAACAAAGTCTAAATTAGGGCGTGGTTTAAGCAAACCAGTGGCCTCCCAAATTCAGTTTAAAAGTTTAAAGTGGTTCATTAGATTCTGTGCCCGGGATTAAAGTTCTTTTAATACTGTTAGAAGAAAACAATGTTAAGATATCAAAGATAACCTTTTAAGGCTTATAGCTTATGGGAGGCACAAGATGGCATCTCGGCCGCCATGCGCCCTTTCCAACACAACTTTTTCCACGAAATTCGAACTCCATCGGCAAACAAACATACTAGGATCCTAGAAATAGGATAACATCAGATATAAAAACCAATGAAGCTTTCCCAGATAGAGAAACGAATCCAGTAGACTTTTAACAAACTCGAAGGATATAATCCAAAAAGGCCGAAAGTCGTCGCGTCGAAGTGGCTGGGCCAGATTAACGCCCGGCCAAGTAAATGAGGCCTGGGCACTGTACAAATCAAATCCATCCCGGGTGTCCTGGGGTGACATTTTCTAGGGACCGATACATGGTCATACATAGCTTGACCAAAGTTACCTTCCCTTGCTGGAAATACATTTGCTAAAGGGCTATTGTTCACTCAGTGAACCAATCTCGAGTCGCCCGGCGAAACCAGTGCAAGCGCCAAAAAATCATGTAAAAGTTGGTGGCTGCATTTTAGAGTTAAAAAGTTTTTAACTCTTGGGGCAGGCCTACGCTTGACGAACCCCTAAGAACGTCTGCGCGGGAGGCCATGTAGTTTATGGCTTATAGACCCGGAGGGGGCGGGGTACTTTGGTTAATTTTTGCTGGGTATGTGCCGCTGGCCTCTCAGAGCTCCTACCCCATTGTGGTCTATTCTGTGGCCAATTATAGACCCCATCTTAGTCACTTTTGGGCAAATATGTAATTTTCGCGATCCCAACTTAGTCACTTTCTATTTTTATGAACTGACCCATTTTTGTACATTGAATGAAGAACACGTTACTTTTCATCTGCGGTATAAACATTCCGGTATGTTTGCTAACCGTAAATATGAAGAACTGTCTTACCCCCAAAAATCGGGATATCTAGTAACTCTGTTGAAAATGCGACCCTAGACTGCGAGCAGTCTCTTATTTTTCTTTGCAAAGTTACTACACGCAAAACCTAAGCACGCAGGCGTCGATCCCTATATAAAACATCGTGGTTTGTAATTGCACTGGTTGAGATCAAGAACTAGACGGATTTTAAGAGAAAAGGCGGACTGCAAGCAGTCTATAATGCGACCCCATTATAGTCAACCCAGTCGTGAAGATGCGACCCCATCCAGCCGCACATCCCCATTAGCCTCTTATAAGGAAATACCCCCCACCCCCCCGGGCTTATAGAACGAGGAATGTTACATGAAGCGCGCTTCTTCTGGTTTATGGCTTATACTGAGAACGAGGAATGTTACATTTGAAGCGTGCTTGTTTTGGTAAATGGCTTCTAGAGGGAGGAATGTTATATTTGGAGCACGCTTGTTTTGGTTCAGAAGTATTATAATTTCAGGATTATTACAAGCACAGCTCTCCCCCACCGTTGGGGGTGGGGGAAGGGGGCTTTTTTAAAATGCGCTTGCATAGTAAGTACATTGAGAATATCGGAATCAAAGTTGCGGGAAAAACCCCTATTGTCATTATAGAAAGCATAAAAATATACACATCAATATACACAAGAACATCCTAAGGGGTTTAATTTAAGGGTTAGAACAGCAGTCGTCGCTGACAGTCTAGACTGTAAAGTGAAGGGGTGAAATGAAATTTTGATACGGAACTGAGAAATAGTCAATATAAACCTAACAGCAAATTTCTTTAAAAGTACCGTCATATTGCGGTAGTTATCGATCATTTGGAAAATTCGTTTCTTACTGGTAAACATGCACACACCCTTTGTTTACATCAGTAACAAACAGCTGGCCAGTGCTTGAAACAGCAACAGAAAGAGGAGTAGTAAGTTGTGTGTGTTGTCCTTCAATTGTGTTTACAAATTTCCCATCAAGAGTGAATATCTGAAGTCTTGCTTTATCACAATCACACACCACCAGGTTATTAAACCTGTCAATTGCAAGACCAACGGGAGTACTCAGTTGTCCGTCACCAGACTCGAGAGTTCCGATACTGTACAGAAACACGCCATTCTCGCTGAAAACCTTCAAGACGCAATGTGCCCAAGAATAGGAAACAAAAATCATATTCTGATGATGTAAAGCATAGCATGGGATTGCGCGCTCAGGATCACAAATGCTAAGTAACAACTCTAATCCATCAGAAGACAGAACCTTCACTGTATCGTCCACCCCGTCACACACCACAATGCGTCCATCACGCGCAATAGTTAAGTGCCGTGGTGACGTTAAGTGTTTGTTGGTGATTATTTTAACAGAATTTTTTGTGATGTCATAACAAAAAATCGTTTTAGAAGCAACAACTACGAGTTCACTTGACCTGGTGAAGGCCACAGATGCGGGTTTAGTTAGTTCTGTACCAATGTCTGTTAGAAACTGTCCCTCTAAGCTAAAGAGCTGTACACTTCTTTTATCGGCCACTGCAACTTTCCCAGACTTTTCATCTATTGCAATACTATTTGGCCAGTAGAATTTTCCGTGTCGTTGCCCAAATGAACAAGACGAAAATAAATATTTGTAACGATGTGGAGTCACTTGAACCCGCCATGGACTACCAGTCAGTGGCTCACCGTTAACCTCAATCAATACTTTATGTTGTCCAACACAGTCTGGTGTGTAAGTGATGCTATATTCGCCGTCTTTGTTGTGTTCAATTGTGTGGCTCAGTTCCTTTTCTGAAGATGACTGAATTTTCAGAAAAATCTGATCGTTTTCATCACAGCACTGGTTTCCATCAGAATCTTTAGTCTTTACTTTGATTGTTGCTTCACTTCCGAGGTCTCCTTCTTGCAAACCCGTTCCTTCAGCCACCGACTGCAAAGTATCTGTGCTACCTATAACAACTCGACCCACCACTGAAAGTTCACTTCTCACATTCTCTACATGCTCTTTATTTATCTCGTATCTGACATGTGATGGTTTATAAATGTTTAGTTTCTCTGCATTTAGGAGACCTTTGCACCGTCCAATCAGAGCATTTTCAGTTTGAAGAATCTCAACGCTTTTCTTTCTCAATAACATGTCCTCGCACCACTCGACATGTGTTTGTAACTGGTTAATAGAAATTTGAAAATGTTCCAGTTGTGCTGCATGCTCTCTGTGTTCTTTTCCTTCTATGATATCTAAACTGGTTATCATAGCTTTCTCATGTTCTTGTAAAAGTTGCTTAAGTTCCTCAACAGATGTCATAACTTTATTACGTGCTATAGTAATCCTCTCTCGGCTTCTTTTAAAGGATGTCTTTGTCCTTTTCACATGCTCCGTGTAGTCAGCAATTTTACTTTTCATTTCCTGCACAATCTCCTCGATATCGACTTTATGTTGCTCTGCGGCTCGGTCAATACCCACAGTGGGGTGACGATTGTGACGAGTCTGTTTACACTCTTCACAAATGCACACTTTGCACTGTTCACAGAAAGATGTGAAAAGTTTATTCTCGTGAAATGTCTCTCCACAGACCAAACGAGAGTCCAATATCTCCTCCAGTTTTGTGCCATTACCTTATGAAAAACCAAAAAACATGACTGAGGTTAACCTTTTTTATGGAAGGAGCTGCATGTACAATAATTCTATAGAATAAAAAGGAATGAATGTTATGCCCTTTTGGCGTTTTCACGAGGTTATATAATGGCATATTTTCACTGTTAAGGGGTTTACAGGGTTCACACACGGGCTTGGTACCGACAAAAATAAAAGAATTACCATAAGATGAGACAGGCAGGCGCAGAGGTATCAATGTATAATGATGGCACCACCGTTAGATCGCCAAAGAGCGAGATTCCGTGACGAGTGCTATGTTTTTTACGCTGCCTGCTTCGTGTCCGAACGACGCAGTTGATAATCACAAAATAGTTATGTCTACATCGCCCCCACACTTGCACACCGATTTATATGCTTGCGTCTTTCTCCCACTTTTAAACAAACCTAAAGGCTTGGTGTATGGCAGGCCTATATACTGGGACAGGAATGTTGTTCAATCTCTCTTTTTTTTCTTTTCTTTCTGGCACAGTGAGGAGGAGTTTGAAAGGACAGCATTTTATTTACCCTTTCATTGGCTGCGAGCACCGGTATGGCGTGCTCACCCTCCCGTCAAGAGGGTGTTTTGCCCAAAGTCAACTTTGTTTCTTGTTTCAAGATTATTTTATTCAAACTATGCTGATGTCTTGCACGCTAACTTTCAGGCCTTGGTGTTCGTTTAATAGTTGTATCTCTTTGTATTTACCTTCAGCATTCGCCTCCCTGGCAGGAATCGTATTTGGTACCACTAAGTCACCAAGCTTCTTTGCGAGGTCTTTTACGTCAGTGCTAATTTCTTTTACGGCTTCTTTTATGCCTGTGCTAATTTTTTTTACGTTAGCGCCTATTTCTTTCAATTCATCTTTTATGTTATCTTCATCATTCTTCCACTTATTAAGGAGATCTTTGTAGTGATACTCCATATCGGGATCCATACAGAAAAATTGCAGGTTTTCAATAGCGGCCTGCGAGTAGAAGATATCACATAATCATTAGGGGTGGCGAATGGTAAAATCCGAGACTCGCCGAGACGCCGAGATCCTAGTTAGAAATCCGAGCCCGAGACTCTTTGGTAAAAAGTTTCGAGACTCAAAAAAAGTAAAAACAAACCATGCAAAAACAAGATTTCGAGACTTGTGAAAAACGCTTCCGAGATTTCGAGATCCCGCCAAAATTTTCCGAGACCCACGTTTTTCGGGGTACCATTCACCACCCCTATCATTCCCTGGTTTGTAGCTGGATTCAACACCAAAACAATTACAGGGCACTAAATGCAGGAATGTAAAATCATACCGAACATTTTCTAAAAATCTTTTACCTCGTACGTAACTCCTCCTAATCGCACCAGAGTGTCCCGGATGTCTTTCCAATGTTTGTCGAATGCTGCATCATCAACAGAAGCGTGTTCAGCGTGAGCGTACACTGTATTTCTGAGGTATTTGATTCGCGCAATGTCTGCTTCATGGCTGAAGTCTGTGGCCGCAGGAAGGGAGTCTCAGCCAGTAAGTGGGGGAGCTAGACCACATACGTTTCTCAAGAGAATCATGAGTAAAGTGATGTCAAAATCTCTTGATGATACAGAGGCAGAGATTGCGGGGAAGAGTTTTCCCCATTGCGTTGCGTTGATGATCCTTCGTGACCTTAGAGACTGCAATGTGGGTTGATTGGCTGCTAAGAAGGTGTGTAGGGTTGGTGGTGTACAGATTGCATCAAAGGAATCCCTGAGGGCACAAGTGCCCACATCGACAAGAACACGGCATAGCCTGGCATAATTAGTTGTTTCTTTTGAAGATGAAGTTGCAGGTGTCGCTAACGCAGAAGCCATAAAAACGAAGTGCTCAATCCATGTCCAGCCTAGAAAAACATTTCAAAAAACATTCAGAAGAATATATCTAGTCGAATCAGTTTTATTATTCTTTCAGGGATTTTCGTTTGGTTTCGTTTTATCTTTTTGTATTAGTAAGACATTAATAGCTATCCTACAGACGGCCATTTTTTAAGCGTGTTACAGTGTTTCAGAAATTGGCAATATTTTTGGATATAAAAAAAAAATTATTCTCGTGGAGCGAGTTTATAAATTTGTCGCGCGCGTAGCGCGCGTATCACGCGAGGATCCCAAGCGAACTGCGATTTCGCTTTGGTCATAAATCTTTCTATCGGTTTGGTATCCGAAGTGGCCTAGCAACAAGCCATAAACAAATCTTAAAGACGCCCTACAACATGACGTCATCGTGCATTTTGGGTTTCCCCCATAAACAAATCCTAAAGACGCCCTACAACATGCCGTCATCGTGCATTTTGGGTTTCCAGGCAACACGTGTAGAGACTTGGGCTCATTTTATTCATCCTCTGTTTATTGTACGTTGGCAAATCGCAAAATAATTTCTGAGGCAAATAACCAGGGGTTGCAAACACAGCAGTGCCCGACTGGACAGGTGGCTGGAAATCCTTGTCGTGGAAGGTTTAACACCGAAAGAACGGTGACCTGAACTTCAGCGAAAGCAGCGAAGAGTAAGACCAGTCCGTTAATCGAGCGGCCTACAGTAAAGCCCGAGAGTGAATGAACACGGAGATAATGCGAAATGGTTTTGAAATACTCGTTTGAGCTCTTTTTCCTCAAATGTATCTTTGAATTCATGATAAATACAGCTCCATAAGGTTCAAACAGTGTGGATGGCAGAGAAAGATACTTCAAGGTTATTAATTTTCGAAGGAAATGGATATGGCGATCGCGTGGCCCTTAGAGGCCGCACTGTTTTCGCTGGAGGAAGTTGGGATGCGCGTTCAAATCCCCGCGTGGCAACCTCCTCTTTTTTTTTTCTTTCATCGTTTTTTTACCGTTTGGTTTTTTACTTTTTATTCTCACTGCTGACCCTTTTAGCTTCGCGAGATTTTTGCGAAAACGTATTTCTAGTTGAATTTGGTTTTCGTAGGACATGAGCATGCAGATCTAGGAGGGTGTTATAGCCTTCGGCCTTTGACCTTGGCGGCACCATTTCCTCGAACTGCATAATTCTTCATATCATACTCAGCCTCATCCGATAATTGTTAAGTATTATAACTTTGAGCGAAGACACAGTTCCCCCCATATTGAATAAACAAAGCGGCCTTGAAGAAAAGCAAAATTTTGACAGCTCTGTATTTCATGTTTTCCCAGCGGTAGAAAAAGAGAATTTAAAGGGCACAAATTAAAACTCTGGTTTTTGTATGTCAGTAAATGGTGCATAACCTCAGTTTTCACCCATGAATTCACCTGTCAAAACGTCAGCCAATCAGAGTGACTGCGCTTATCAAAGCCATAAAAATGTAATTTTTATATTTTCTTGTAGGCTATACACCTGGAGCTTTAAAAATTGCCTCTTAACTTGCTGCTTGCTTCAGGCAAATTTTCTTTCACTATAAACAAGAAAAATTGTAACTGAACACCTCCAAGAAAAAACGTAGGACTCCCCCTCCTTTAAGGGGTGATAGCCGTACAACTTTAAAACCCCCTGGACCAAAATTTAACCCCCAAAAAATCCCAATGCCGAATTTATAAGCCATAAAAATTTCCAGAGGAACTACGCAGCCGGGATACGCGGGAACTATCACGAATCTTCAGCAGTGCCGTTTGAATATCCAAAAAAATCCCTACTTTAATGAATCAAGCTACCCCAAAAAATACTTGCTATAATTTAAAATTCCGAAATCGAAAATTTTAAACCCAACAAAATCCTTCGATCGCCCCTGTCACTTGAAATCCGGATAACCCCACTAATATGTGTCGAGTAAACCACTCGAAAAAAAAATTCCATATTCTACGCATGTTATGCATTATTCACTATTTTACAATTGATAGATTTTACCCTTCCATGAAACGAAAGTGTCATTTGAGGCTTTTTATATAACACGTAAGGAAGTCGAAACCGAAATTGAAAAAGCACTGAGAAAAAATTTGTAGGAACTCCGTTAATCATGAGATGGATAGAGTTTCAATTACCATCACCTCGTAATACAAAATGCTTTAGAAGAGATGTATTTAGAGACGGAAATACCTTATAATCGAACGAAACTGAAAGCTACATCGTATCACTGATTACTAGTGTCATCAAAACTCGGGTAAAATGTTCTTTTGGTTTCGCTTGAAAAGTATCGGGGTGAAAAACGAGTGTCTTGTTGCGTTGCACGTCAGCTGGTGTAACGCGCTACGAAATCACGCGACCGTTGCCCAGGTTTTAGTTAATGTCACTTCCAAGCGCCCTTTAATGTCTTCTCACAAAACGTTTTCATTCATTCTTTAGTAAAAAGAAACTCTCAAAATATATGTAATGAAGGAAAAACAGGAAAGAAACCTACCTGTGTATTCCACAGGGTTGTCAGACTTCCTTTACCCTTACGAAACAGGGAGTGATTTGTAGTTCTTGTGATTATTCGCTCAGCAGCGACCAGTTAAGTCTTCATCACAGCAATTGTCTTCTCAGTTAAAGGATCAATTTGAGATGATTCGCCGCCTTGCGGAAGAGTAAATTTTAGCTCATGAAATGAGTCAGCTACGAAACACCACAAAGTGCTTTTAGTTAGGAATGTGCAAAGTCACGCTATTTCTTAGAATATCGAGTGCACACTCAGTTGAGACAAAACAGAAAACTGAGAGGGTGGTGGAGGGGAAGAGGAAGTATAGAGAATTAATAATCTAAACTTTCTTTCACCTTGCTTATGTGCTTATGGTGCTGGGGGATGGTACTGAATTACTGTTTTCAAAAAAATAGAAGCCACTCAACAGCTGTATTACAGTCCCCCAGCCTCCTAAGCCAGTAATATAAAGTGCAGACGGAAGGTTTGTTGATGGAAGCGCACGTATTCCCGGTGACTGTGATAGCGGATTTGCCTATGAATCCAACGTTCTCGGGTAAACGGCATTAACGATCTGAGTAATAAAGGCGAATACGTTAATTTTTACATTGCACTAGACTTAAAAAAATATTTTACAAACCGCTTAAAATTAACGGACACATCTATAAGCCCGGGGTAGTCAATCAATAAAAGGGAGCTTTAGTATCGACGACGGCAACGGCAGCGAAAACGTCAGTTTTAAACTGAATTCTTCAATAATTGTCACGTTTATTCCAATTTGCCGAAAATGGCAAATGTAGGCGAATTTCCCTGGAGTTGATTTCTTGAGGACCGCACTCAATTTTAGAGAGAGAAAAAGAGATTCGTCCATGCTTGTTTATGTCCTCCATAAAACTTGCAATTAGGCATTTTCACGTCGTAGTCGTCCAAGGACGGTAAAGAAATGTACAAAAAAGCGTGACGGCACGTGCAAAGTTGTTGTTTTGCGTAACAAACCTATTGCTTTCTCGACGTCCTGGTTGCCGTCGCCTTCGTCGTTGCTAAAGCTCCCTAAAAATCGGTAGGAGGGGGAAATGGGGGTTTACTGTATTGCGGTATTGGGCTTTCTTTCATGCGGTATTTCGGTAATTTTAATTTTAACGCGCGGTATTGCGGTATCATCCAGCTCTGCGGTATGCGTTTTTTCATCATTTTGGCTGACAGTATTCGGTGAAATAAGATTGTCCACGTTATTACGGTACCGTTTATTTGCGCTTTCCTTTCGATACAATACGCAAAACAAAACACATGTACAGTAGGACATAAAGGTCAATAAAAGTTAACATTCAGAAATCTTGAGACACAACGGTAAAGTATTACACCATTTGTGGGTCATTTTGTAATAGCCAGCAAAAACGTCTTTGTCTCCTCGCTCTTTGCCGCTGGGGACGTTTCGTCCGAGCGGAACGTCCCCAGCGGCGAAGAGCGGGGAGAAATGGATGTTTTCGCAGGCTAATTTTGTGACAGTTAATGGTCGATAATATACAATGTAATTGTTGTTGCATCCAGTGACAATGAGTCGTCTCACGTCACCTCACCAGGTTTTTCGATCTGTGCACCAGGGTCTTACACGTTTTCTCACAATGGTTGAGGTCGCTGAGGTTGAAGACGGCGTGGTCATCATTGACCGTGTGGCAATTTTCTATGACGAGGGCGAAGGAGGTGAACATTATCGCAACAAGAATAAGTTTAGATGTCGGGTTTCGAGGATTGAAAATCGCCTTGTAAAGTTAAAAGAGAAAATTTGCCTCTTGCCGGCGCGGCGTTTGGCGGGAGGTTGGGGGGGGGGGGGCACTTGGGTATTTTTTGGGTGGGTATGTGCCGCCTGGGACTCCAAATTGGCACGCCGTTCCAAAAAAAAATTTCCCCTAAAATTGATACCCCGTTCTAGAAATGGGCCAATTTTTTATACCCATTCTAGAATTCTCCCTAAAACTGATACCCCGTTCTAGAAATGGGCCAATTTTTTATACTCCTTTCTAGAAAGTTTGTAAATTGAAATACCCCTGTTTTTTTATAAAGATATTTCTTTATTTGTTCGACTTATGCATCAAATAAACGATTCTTCATAATCAGCAACAATTTTAAGCAGAAGATAAAGCCGTGATCCACAATTTTGTATACCCCGTTCTAGAAAACGCCTCTGAAATGGATACCCCTTTCTAAACCAGGAGTTTCAAAATCACGACCCTTTTGGATAGTTGACCCCTGGGAGACTGACGTGCTAGACTAGACTCACTTATCAAAACTCGCACTAGACGAGCTCTAAAGCTCATGGTTCGTAGCAGGACGTCTTAATCTCAACCATCTTCCTAAATTTCCTCTACTCCCCCTCCTCCTGCCGCGGCCGTCAAGCCGTAACCGAGAGGTTTTTGTGACATGTGACATTCAAAGCATGGCTATGCCGAAAAGCATCATGAGTTGAGCTGTTATTTGTGTAATACTATACTTAGTCTAAATTATCGTTGTGAGAAAGTAAACCTAACGAGAAAACCAGGCGATCGATGATCTTGCATAAAGATATCCATAAAGTATGTTACTGACATCTTATTATGATTAAAGACTATTGGAGAAGCGACGTGAGTCTTATTTCCGTCAGAATGGAACTTACAGGTTTTCTATATCAGAAAGCCACTGAAATTACAGTACATATATTCAAAAATAACTGTTCAATAACGAGGTCAAAATATTCAGACAGTATCATCTCTTTCAGTCAAATAAGCTTAATAACAAATTAATTTTCTTTACAGTCGGATAGAGCTGTTGCTCAAATCATATCAATCTGCCGGCGATGATCCTTATTTCAATAAATTCCGGTTTCTCAGTGGAAAACATACACACAGTTTTCATTTTTATCAGTAACAAAAAGCCGGCCATCACTTGAAACAGCAACGGAATTAGGTGAATTAAACCCAGGGTGCCCTCCTTCTATTTTGCTTAAAAATTTTCCGTCAAGAGTAAATATCTGTAGCCCTGCCTTATGATCACACACCACCAGGTTATTAAACCTGTCAACTGCAAGACTAACAGGAGAATCCAGTTGTTCGTCACCAGTCTCTGAAGTGCCGATGCTGTACTGAAACACGCCATTATCATCGAACACATAAACATTATTTGCATCAATATATGAAACAAAAAACCTATTCTGATGACACATTGCACAGCGCGGAAGGTGACCCTCATGGTCACTAATGGTGAGTAGCAGCTGCGAACCATCAGAGGACAGAACCTTGACTGTACGGTCACCCTTGTCACACACCACCATGCGCCTATCACATGTACGTTCAATTGTCAGGTGGCGTGGTGACTTTAGGTGTTTGACGGGAACTTGTCTTCTTCTTACAGATTTTTCTAGTGTATTGAAACAAAAAATCTTTTTAGAAGCAACGACAACAATTTCAAATGACGTGATGAATGCCACTGATAAGGGTACTTTGTTGGCAAAAATTCCAATTTCTCTCTGGTACCCTCCGTTTATGTCAAATAGCTGTACCCTCTTCATGTCGGCCACTGCAACATAATAGTCATTTACTGCAACAGAACAGGGACATTTTAACTGTCTTCGCCCTTTGCCATTTGAATCAGAGAAAACCATCGGTTTGTAACGATGTGAAGTCACATGAACACGCCATGGACTACCAGCCAGTGGATCATCGTTAACCACAATAATGAATTCATGTTGTCCGACACATTTTGGAGTGTAAGTGACGCTATACTCGCCATTTTCACTGAGTGCACTCATGCAGCAGGATTCTTCTTCTCCTGTGGGTGATCGAACTGTAATGTAAATCTTATCGTTTTTATCGTAGCACTGGTCTCCTCCAGCATCTTTTGTCGTTACTTTGAAACTTGCTTTGCTTCCGACGTCTCCTTCTTGCAACCCTGTTCCCTCAGCCACTGACTGCAAAGGATCTGTGTTACTAACAACAACTCGACCCAACTCCGGAACTGCGCTTCTCACATTCTCCACATGCTCTTTACATTTTTCGTATCTGACATGCGATGGCTTATAAACGTTCAGTTTCTCCGCATTTAGAAGATGTCTAGACCGCCCCATAAGAACATTATGCGCTTGCAGAATTTCAGCGCTTCTCTTCCTCTGTAAGATACCTTCGCACCACTCGACATGCTTTTGTAATTGATTCCTAGAAATTTCGAAATGGTCTAGTTGTGCTGTGTGCTCTCTTTTCTCTTTTCCATCAATGGCGTCTAAACTGGTTATCACGGTTTTTTCATGTTCATGTAAAAGTCGAATAAGTTCTTGAACACATTTCACTACTTTATTGCGTGCTGTGGCTATCCTCTCTCTGCTTCTTCTCAAGGATTCCTTTGTTCTTTCCACACGCTCCGTGTGATAAGCAATTTCTCTTTTCATTTCTTCTACAATTTCCTCGATATCAACTTTGGGCTCTTCTGCGGCTTGGTGGATATCCACCGTGGTGTGATAATTGTGACGAGTTTGTCTACACTTATCACAAATACACACCTTGCACTGTTTACAGAAAGACGTCAGAAGTTCTTTTTCATGAAATTTCTCTCTGCACATCAGAGTTGTGTCTAATATCTCCTCCATTTTTGGGCCATCGCCTTGTGTTAAACAAAATAAAAGTGGGTTAGTTAATCATGCTTGACAGAGGAGCTGCACTTTCAATGAAATGTAAAGGAAGCTACCGAAAGAATATGGTGCATTTTTGCTTTATGCGAGTAATATTAAGAGTCACCCTGATGTAAGAGAATCCAAGACAGTCTTGGATTCTGGATTCCACTCGATGTATTCCGGATTCCGGATACTTTGTCTGTGGAAATTGGATCCCGGATTCCAAAGCCTAGGATTTCGGATTCCACAGTAACAATTTGCTGGTTTCCGGATTCCGGAAGCAAAAGTGGACCTGGCATCAACGCAAATCAGGCCAGCCAAAAAATTCGTTCGCAAGTACGACGGGAAGCAAGCAAAGAAAACTTAAGCACAAGGATGTCCAAAGGTGTGATAAGCATAAGCACAAACAAAAGACAAGACAAGACAAGTAGGCGCAAGAGCATCAAATTCTGACGATTCTGGTGTTGGCACCAAAGAATATATAACAGAAATCCATTGCAAAATCAGATTGTGGTGGGAAAAGCAGAGTTTCGTGACGAGTGCCAGTGACCCTTTAGGTTATGCTTGTCTCGTGCCGATTTATACGTACAACGTAATAACGCTTGAATACATAAGCAAAAGAACAAGAAACTAATAATCGATCAATTTTCTCTTTCTTTTCTCTGACAATTACACTCAAACGCAGGTTTTTAAGCTTTTTCTCAGGTTATGTTTATACCTGATTCAAAGGTTAGAAGAAAAAAACTTCAAGGCTTGGTGTAAGGTAGGCCTACAGTGTCGGGAATGTTGTTCAGCCTTGCCTTTCTTTTTTCATTTTTGGTTTAAGGAGGAGTTAAAAGGCCCACTTTGTATATCCATTCATTGGTTGTGAGAGCGGTAAATGCATGTTCACCTTCATATGGGGGTGACGGGTTGAGGGGGTGAGCACTTTTTGAGATAAGAGTAAAAAAACTATTTTTTTAATACCTGGTTTTAGTTTTATATCACAGTTTCAGTTTTAGATCATCATAACTTCAGTTACAAATTTTTCATTCACAGTCTCTATATACTCACCATCTTCATTGCTTGATTGTCCCACAGGAGTCCCAGTTGATGCCACCATGTCATCAAGCTTCTTTGTTATCTCCTTAATTTCTTTTACGTCAGTGCCAATTTCTTTTACGTCGGTGTTGATTTCTTTTACGTCGGTACCAATTTCTTTTACGTCGGTGCCAATTTCTTTTACGTCGGTGTTGATTTCTTTTACGTCAGTGCTAATTTCTTTCAATTCATCTTTTATGTTATCTTCATCATTTTTCCACAGTTGAAGGAGTTCTTTGTAATGGTGCTCCATATCGGGATCCATGCAGCAAAATTCCAGCTTGTCAATAGCGGCCTTGAAATAGAACGGGTTATTTATCATTCACTTCAACTGATGTGCTAGCTAGTGTACTCAGCATTAACAGAAAAAAAAACACGACAGGGTCATGGTATTTATGGAAAAGACGGATAAAATACACGACTGTATTGACGTTTGGAATCTATTTTACCTTATATGTAGCTCCTCCTAGCCGTACTAGAGTGTCTCGGATCTCCTTCCAGTATGTGTCGAATGTTGCATCATCAATAGAAGCGTGCTCAACGTGAGCGTACACTGTATTCCTAAAGTGCTTTACTCGTGCAATGTCCGCCTCACGACTCAGGTCTGTGGCAGCAGGGAGCACGTCCCATCCTGTTACCGGAGGAGTGAGACGGCAGATGTTGCGTAGCAAAGTCATCAGTAGAGTGATGTCAAAATGTTTTGAAGACACTGAAGAAGGGATTCCGGGAAAAAGCTTTCCCCATTGGGTTGCATTGATGATCCTTCTTGATCTAAGAGTCTGCAATGCGAGATGACTGGCTGCCAGGACCTTGTGAAGAGTTGGTGGTGTGCAGATGGCATCAAAGCAATCCCTGAGGGCACAAGTGCCCACATCGACAAGAACACGGCATAACCTGGCATAATTAGTTGTTTCTTTTGTAGATGGAGTTGCTGGTGTAACAGAAGCCATGGACACTACGGACTTGAATTCCTAGAATAAAATATTCAGATCACAATTCTTGCCTTCAGTTTATTTTTTTACATTTTTATAGTAGCAATGGGGTGTGAGGCACGGTGTCCTGCTTACAATCATTGCTGTCCACTTAACGAAACGCTCGTTTATTTCTTTATTCTTTTGCCTGAAACAAAAGACAGAGCAAAAGGGTTTTGAAATATCAGCTATACGTTTTTAAACGGCTTTTCAAGAGCTTTTGGCTACGCTCTAGCCTTTTTCACAGTAGATAGAACATGAAACGTGACTTGAGATCTGATTTGTCTGCATGGTCCAAGGCAGCAGTGTCAGTCTGCAGTGTTTACACGCACGTTTTTTGCACAAATTCATTGACTGTGCAGCTGTGAGTTCACCGGTAAAGTTTCTCCGCCCAATCGTTAGGAAAATCATAGCCTGCGTAGTTGGCGTTTGTTGTTGTGTTTTGCAAAGTAAGAGTTACAGCAACGCGAAAACTGAACCGAGGATGGAAAAATTCGAGAAAAAGGCCTTAAACACAGAGGTAAAGCCCCCAAACTGGTGGTTTCGTTATGTGATTAAACAGCACATGAGGCAGAAGGAGCAACACGTGTAACACTTTGCAGACCAAATTGGGTCAATAGAAAATGATATCAATCTCACCCTGTCGGAAATAGAGGAAAACAAGGCACTCGCTTTGCTTGATACACTAACCATCAAACAGGCAAAAGGAATCCTTTTAGGTAAGGGTAAAAAGAAAACCATCCTATACATAAAGAACAGAATCTGAATTTTAAATTGCAGTAATCACTAAAGCATGCGCTTTCTGTTGCGCGCACATTACAAACTTACTGTGTATTGTAGTCTTAGGCTCTGAAGTCTTACACCAGGAAAAAACAACACAAAGCTTTTGCACAGGTGCGGGTATGCAGCGTGGACATTAGACAACGCATTGCATCCTAGCAAGAGAGGATAAAGCTCATGTCCTTTTTTGATCCCACTCAACCAAAACAGAGCACAACCGCCAGCTGTCTCAAAGCTTTTTCTAGACAGAGCAAGAGTAAATCAAAAGAGTGATCAATCCGATTCGTAAAGCCAACGAGAAAGTTCAAAGAAATCCTGAGTAAGCCAAAGGGCTGACTGAAACTGAAAGAGGTTTGTGTCCCAGTTTTTTTCTGAGATAGTGTGTGAATGAGACAGAATTGAGGAATCAAACGAAAGTTACATTGGCAAAGTACAAAGAACCGTTTCAGTCACGTTTCTCCACACATAAAAGACCAGGGTTTATCAAGGAGCTAAGACAATGAAATTGAACTCAAGGCATCAATTGAAAGCGCTGTTTAATTGCTTGCATTATTGAGTTGCTTTTGAACCAAAGGTTATGACGGGTGTTATATATAACATAAAGAAGCTAACATGACGTCACCGGACGTCATTAGGGACCTTACGAAACTACGACGGCGACGTCAAGGAGACTCGTCAAAAAAGCAATAGGTTTGATGAACAAAACAAATACTCTGCACGTGCATCACGCTTTTTTGCACATTTCTTTGCTGTCCCTGCACAACTAAGAAGTGAAATGAGTAAATTCTAAGTTTACTTGAGAACGGGAACGGCAAGACGATAAATTCTGCCATCTCTGTCTGAACTCGGGCGAGGTCCAAACTTAAGTATTTTAGCGATACAAAGTTCGTTTATAGGAAAATTTCAGAACTTCTTGTTTTTGCGTGGACTAACATTGTAAGGCATTTTTTTGCAGGATTTTGCTTTTGGCCAGAACTTAAATGTTCTAATGATTTTTAACTTTTGGTCGGCATCACATGTTTACTGTACTTCTTGGGAAACCTAACCGTTTGTTTCATCAAAATCGGTCGCAAGATTGGACTTTAATTTCGGTCCTATTGAAAGCAGTTTTGACTGTGTCTCATTGATATTCATTTTTTTTTTATTGTTCGAGACATAGAGAGTGATAGTAGCTCGTGTATGTTAAAGCCGGTCTACTTCGCTTTTGTTAAGACCATGTTAGAGTTTTTTTTTGCAAACTACACATTTTGTTAAATCACGAGCACATTCGCCAAGACCAACGAGCAAAATAATCGCTATGATAGCTTTGAGACGCGCCATTTTGATGAAGGCAAACCCTGTGGTGAGCCTCCCGTTGCGCATCGCTTGTTCAGCGGTCGCGCATGCTCATGCAAAAAAGACCCCTGTTCTGTGTAGTATAAAAGC